TCCTTTGTATCTTTGTCTACAGGTGACACGGCTAAAGTGCACTTTTCTCCAAGCGGTGGTGAATGAAAAATGAGAGAGGTGGGAGGGAGAAAGAGAGCAAGAGAGAGAGAGAGAGAGAGAGAGAGAGAGAGAGAGAGAGAGCCGACCGGTAGTTTTAAGAGAAGAGTAAGAAACATCCGAGATACAACTTTCCCGGAAGACAGGAAAGAATTAATGAGACGGGACCGAATGACTGACTACCACCTCGTGAAAGACAGGGGGAGAGCAGAGAAGGAAAGAAAGAAAGAAAGAAAAAGAAGAGGGGAATTGGATCGCGAAGATGCAAAAGTTTTCTTCAAGCTGCTCGAGTGCGTCTTTCTGCCAGTCGGAAGTCACGCGAATCGCTGCTTGCGGAGATGGCGTGTCCTCCTTTCTTTCTCGGAGCAGCTGAGTGGCTTCTTCTTCCTCTTCGTCGGCCGGCGAGCTAACTTCGTAATCTGAATTTTCCGCGGGGACGTCAAAATAAAGAATACTTGAAAGCAAGGAAAGTAACGAGAGGGTTCTCCGCAACCTGGCTGGTGTTACGAGTGGATGTTTAATTAAGAAAATCTAAACTAATTCATCAAAGACGATGAATAAGTTCGTATTATTCGAGAATTGTTATTAAATATTACGCATTATGCATGTTCGCAGATATGAGAATATGTCACATAAAATAAATCAATATCACAGTCGAATTGAGTTATATAGAACAAAAATTTTACTGGAAATTAAGTGAGCAACTACCGTTTGAATAATAAAAAACAATTCGGTAATATAAAACGAAAATTTAATTTAAATAATTCTAAATCATCACAACTTTTTTATTGTTAATTATGTGTTTTCAATCATTTATTATTACTAAAGTGGAGCAATGCGCCGTTATGCTTTTACCGCTGTCATCCCGATAATATTGGCAATCGATATTGTCGCTCGTGACGGAGATAGCACGTATTTTTGTAGCCACATAGAAGAACTGTTCTCTAATGTTCCGAAAATAAAAACAAAATTCTGTTGACAATGTCAGGTCACAGTGGTTATTTAGTGGAGCATTTTTAGGAGAGATGGCCTCGTTCCATTAATTTAGCATGCATGAAACGTGCTGATATTATTTGCGGCCATCGTTAACTAGCGCACAGTAAAGTACCATCTTTCATTTTGCTACACAAGATAGTTTAACGATCTTTTTTCGTAAGAGGGAGTATGATAATTAAAACTCTGATAAACGTGAGAGCGTAATGATTTTCCGATAACAAAATTAAAAGTTAGATAATGCCACAAATTTAATCGCGTATATTTAATAAGTTATTTTGAAAGCATTAAAATATAATAGAGTTGTTATCGTTAACATTTTTACTTAATAATTTTTTTTAGTCTTGCATTTCTTTATAAATTTTCTCTCTTTTTTTTCGTAGTTCATACAAGACTAATTGAAAACAAATAAATTATACGAGTGTAATTTTAACCGTAATAAAATTTCAATTTCTATCTGCAATCATTACATTGCAAAACACGTTAATATTGCTCGAAATTGTCACTACAAAATGTTATATTAGCCTTTCGCATTTATTTGTCTAGCTATAAACCGTTTCTTCGCTACTGTGCGCTTTAACTAATATTAATTTTGTTACATCGTTGCCAACGTTGCATCCTTGCTCAGAAAATACAAGGAAATCTAAATTTTAATCTAAATCCAAGTATCTTCACTATACATCGCAACTTGCAATACTCGAATGCAGCGTATATTCATAATCAGTGCTGTACATGTCACGCCGATCAAGTCCTAAGGATCAATCGCGCAGCGATCTCTCTCACCGCCGCGGCCGTCGGATCAAATAATTTCGATTAAAATCGCTCTTGGAAAAAAATTGCATCGCGTTGGAACGACATAACGGCAGCATCATTTTATTAAACGACGCTTTTCTCCGTCTCTTTGCCGACTGTTCTCGTCTCTCGCTATTCGTCGGTTCGTCCCGCGGCATCGATCCTCATCTCACACTCGTAAACGTCGTAGGAACGAGCAGCTCTGAGGTAAGAACAAACGCCGTAATAACGAAGCTTTGTCGAATTAGAGCTTTCCTTTCCAACCATTTCGCGCTTTTCCCTTCTCATATAGTCACTCTCGCACATCCTAACTCATGGCAGCGACACGCGCGCATGTGTGCGCGCGCGCGCGCGCGTGTGTGTGTGTGTGTGTGTGTGTGTGTGTCGCTTGCGGCGTGCCTATATTCCGGACGCCTCCGTGCGTCAAGGTTTCTTTTCCACCCCTGTATCCCTCTTGTCAACCGTGTGTGTGTGTGTATCCACTGGCAGACATAATTAACAATTAGTTCCCCCTCTCATAAGTCGGGCGTTCCCTTGGCATGCGGTACGGCGTGCGTTTATTGCTTCGTAAACTGCGTTCCCTTACCTCGACGTAAAATCACGCACGTAAAATCGCCTTCGTGGCGATCATTATTGTTCGTAATGAAGAATATCGAAAAGCATATCGATCGGTTGAACGACTGACAAAAATAGAAAATTGAAAGAAATTACACGAAACATTCTCTATCCTGATAAGGAAACTCGCTAGATTCTATTCTGTAAAATAGATTAACAGAGAAGTCCGTCTTAAAATAAAATAAAATAAAAAAACAAAAGTTTGGAAAAGATTGGATTTAAACTTGTTGAACACCTTTAATTATAGAAGCAATCATCAACTTTTTCAGTATAATTTTTTTTGTAACGAATTCTTCTGTATCTAATTAATCATACGACCATGCTCTTTAATTTACTTCTTGCTATTTCAAGCCAGATGAATTTGTGTGATGGAAAGGATTTTGTTTGTAAATGCAAATAGAGAAACTGCAAACTTGTACGCGCATGTTTGAGGTGGATGCTTGCAGCGGAATTCATTTGTTCGGCAACGTCAACCTCAGCGAATCTCCGGTGCACGCGACGTGTGGGAAAATAGTTTTGGAATGAAAATCGGTTGTTTACGGTTCGAGTATATTTTTTCGATGAACATCGTTGTGGCAAGATACTATTGGTACAAATATTCCAATATAAAAAAAACGTGTACAATTCAATGTCACTAGATGGAAACATAATAAACTCGACATCTCGGAAGAAACTTACATTTATTATATGCTTTTTACAATATAAATCATTCTAAGTTTTAAATTTTAAATTTAAGCCTTTAAAAATTGACCAATCACAGTCAAATATGAGAAGAATAATCGATTATGATTGATCAATTTCTTAAGACTTAAAATTTAAAATAATGCAGAGAAAGTCCACTACGCATAACATAAGTAAACCGTTAATAAAAAATATTCCCAGATCTATTTCGTTACTTTATGTGTCATCGAAAAAAGCTTCAGATCTTTCATTGTCACTAACGATACTTGCTTCTCTGCGCTGTGCCAATAAACGCATTTATGTCACCAACTATCTAATGAACAAAAACCAAAATAATTTCAACGCGCTAATACAAGTGACAACGAAGGTGACGTCACTCGGTGAGAAGAAAAATTAAGCGCCTTATAACAATTGGCGAAATTAAACTCGACATATCCTCATGATGCTTGGCGTTTGAAAGACGCGTTCACATTCCAAGACATTTTATTCATTGATGATTTAATAATTCATGACTTTATGATCCCGTCGATAATAAAAAAAAAAGCCTTGAGTTTACATCGCGAGTTCGCAAATCAATCGCTTCTTTTCCATTGAAACTTTCTTCGCTCTCCTTCGGCGAACTTTATTCGTAGATATTTCGTCCGACAATATGGAGGGTTATTTGTGTGTAAAACTCTCCGACTTGGGGATAAGTACAGAAAATAGCGTTGCATTCCTGAAAAGTATTTCGTGCCTTTTTACGACTTTGCTTTTACATAAGCAAGAAGAAAAAAGTATGCAGAGATAAAAACAGACATTCTGTTACGCAATACAGCTGAAGGATTGCACTTATATCTTATATTCTTCCAATGCACTTAAATATCAAATATTACGTCCGAAGTCGACAATCGCGGTGCACATTCGCAGGATAAAATAAAGGACCTTTAATAACGAGACATTAACAATGCATAATAAACTAATCGAATTTGTAATACGTTTGCAGTCGACCGCGGCACGTCTATACGATTTGCAGTCTATACGATTTATTAAAACCAATTTTCTTTTCTTCTTCACGTTAATAATTTTGTTCGTAATTGTATTATTTTATTCGTAACAAAATTATAATTTATTTATGATCGTTCATATTCATTTTCTATTTATTCATTTATCAATTGCTTCACATCCGATAATCAATGTAAGACCATTGACACATTCCTTTTTTCTTCTCCACGTTAATTATTTTATTCGTAACAAAATTATTAAAATTTATAATTATTTACATTTTCTGTTTGTTTATTTATCCTTTATCCGATTGAAGTAAAACTATTGATTACTGCCGTATTATCAATTTATGCATCTGAAGGATATTTTATATTGAACTTATTTATATAATATTGTTAGAGAGAACATATTTTTTATATTTCATATCGAACTTATGCCCAATCTCTTCATCTCTAGATAACTTTAACCAAGAGATATCTCTTAGATAAGGTTATCCGCAACTTATCTGGAAGTGAAGAAATTGGGCATTAATTACATGATGTTAGAGAGATAATATTTTTTACACCTACAAAAGTCGCGTTAAAACTTTCAGTGAATGGGTTTCCCTTCATTTCTTTTCATTGTCGATGACTCGAAGAAGTTGGGTCCAAATAATCCTCCGCCAGATGATAAGCGCCGTTTCTCAGGGAAAATGAGCGCAAAATTAATGCGTCCCAGTGGTAGAATCGGGAGAGCGCGAGTTTAAAGTCGAGCGATAAAGGGGGTGAGGTGGCTCGTAGTTGCGTACTAACGTACTTGCGGATGCGCGCGACGCTGTACGGTGTACGGTGTACGGGCCGCGCTCGCTCACAGTCGCTCACAGTACCGCGGCGACCCTCGAATCAGGAGGATCCGTCAACGTCGCGCATCGGTCCCGACTCCCGACTCTCGACTCTTGTGCCCGGCGAAAAGGGGGATTCGCGGTGGACGAGGAGGCCGCGCGCCGTCGTGAAACGTGAGAACCTCTCCCGCTTTCCGTGACCAAATTCGTGCGCGTCGCCGTCGCCGTCGTTGCGGCGCCTCCTCGGCCGAGAGGCCGAATTCGCGAATTCTGAGCGATCGGCCGGGGAAAAAGGAGGGATTAAAAGAAAATCACTTCACGTCGTACCTGTGTCGCTCGACATTCTCTTCCTCCCTCCCGCGCGTCGCGATACGCAATACGAAATCTTGATCTCGCGATGTCTGTGTGATATATACGTGTGAGAGGTGTTTCACGAGTATTCCTGTCCACTTCGTCGTCCTCCCACGCCAATTCGGAATCCGGAAAGAAAGGGGTTGTAGACTTGTGGAGGGTGGGAGCGAGACGCCGAAGGTGTCGGAAAGGTAAAATGGTGTGGAGAAAAATCACATATGTCACACATGTATGCACAAAATTCAAGTGCATTGCAAATTCACAACTGTGTAAAAATCAAGTACCTTCATGTATGTGGGTGTGATTTAAATTTCCGTGTAAAAATAAACTGTATTACACGTTTAAATAATTAAATGTGCATCTTTGCGTAAGCAATAATAAAGTGCGTTATTTTTATATGGAAAATTAAATTATGATCACACATATGAAGGCATTTATGACACGTATGGATTTGCGATGTACATAGTATCGATTTTTTTGCACAGTGCAAATGACTGATTTTATCTCGATACATGGTTTTTATCAAACGTTTCTAAAAATGTCATTTGGTATCAGTGCAACATCCTCTGCGATTTGTAATTTTTGAAATTTGATCGGTGATCGTTGAGGCGCTAAAAGTGTAGCTTTCGCGTGCTTCATGAGATTGATCCCAACTTTTCATGCGTACCTTTCGTGTGTTTAATAAGGAACAGGATCCCTCATCTCAGTTCTAAAGCACGAAGCACTTCCCTTATATATCGATTCTTTCCCTCAAGCCTAAATTCCGTAAAAAGGCACTTTCGCTTTTGCACTTTTCAAAGTGCTTTTGAAACCCTACTGATAAGTTTTTTTGGCAGATACATCGAACGAACAGAAACGATTTGCGTTGAAAGTTAATTTGTTTTTGGAGAACATTCGTACATTCTTTCTTTTACGCGAATAAGCTCGACTCTTTCGACCGACTTGTTCACTCAACATCGAGCTAGTAAACAGGAGATCGAAGGCGCTCCTTTCACGAAAAAGAATTCCACATCGTCGGTACATCGCTAGCGATCGCCACTGCACTTCCTCCTGTCTGAGGCGTGTTTGTGGTTTCTACTTTTCTCCATCTGTCGAGCTCACTGATAGAATGTCGCGCGTTCCGCTACTACGCGATTTTTTCCACGATACTTTATATACCAATAATAAAAATTTCAATATCAGATCCTCTTTTTTGCCATTAATTCATGAAATTAATTAACAGTATGATTTTGCACAATTTGAAAGTTTAATTTAACCAATTATTTTACCAAATGTTCAAATTTTTGTATAAATTTAATACAAAATGAATATGTAGAAAGTAGCCCAAATAATATGTAAAAAAATTAAAATAAAATATGTAACTGGCACAGTTTGTGAGCAAACTGTACAAACATATTTTTTAGTAATATTAACATTTTTGTTAAGTTAACATAACATGTATTTTACTTGTTTTGAAATTTCTATTTGAAAATTTAGTACTTTTATATCATTTTTATGTTATTTAATTACTTATAAATTACATTAATTTGACACTAAGAAATGTTGGATGTCAATTTAACATAAATTCATCAAAAATTAAATGACATAATCTCATAATGTTAAGTCAATACTCGGATATGTTAAAAATTTAACACAAAATTTTAATGAGGACTTTAGTAAATCGGTTTTAACATAATTACAAAATATTTTTTACTATATATATAAATTTATTTTATATATACACATATATATATATATATATATATAAATGTTTGAAATGACATAAATTTCGACTCTGTGCCATTCTAATTTATATCTCAATTTAGTTTCTCGATTTTTTAAAGCCATGTGTGTAATATATATCAATTTATTAACTATATAGTTCATTTAACCGACAATGATATTTAATACGTGCGGTGTCCGATGCGAGTCTCGGTAACCCGAGTTACATCCGTGAGTTAAGATTATTATTACGCAGTAACTATTACGTATTCGCGCGATGCGCAGCTCAGATTTTGGCGAGGGGAGATTCCATTAACTACGGTTTGGAACCCTAAATCCGAACTCGCTCCGGCTCCGCACCAGTAACGTGGTTCCGTCTCAGATTCAACGCGTGACTATTAATTCTCCAAAGCTAATTATTCGAAACGTGTCGTACGAAAACTTAGTTTCCGCAGAATTATATGGAATGTTCAACAAATAATATGATCACCAAGTTACATTGAGATTACAAAGAAGTTGATTTCAAAAGCGTAATAAGATAACCAATATAAATAAAAATAATGAAAATATTGGGGTTACGTTAAAAATTCAAATAAATGATTATTTTCTCATTTATTCTCGAAGAGTTTTGAGTTTACGAATGATAATCAATTTATTCTTTGACAAGATTGGCTGGAAAACATTACGCGCTGTCCTTACAAATTCATGCAAAGTTCTTCTTTTCGGACAAGATTCCCGGGCTTTTCATTATTTACGTGCCAGCAAGTAATCAGATTTGCGACAACTTGTTGCTTACCGGAAAGCGCGCGCGGAAAGACGAAGTTCGAAGACACTGAGACGGAGATTCGCGCTAACAAACCAACGAAAGATACAAGGGAAAAAGAGAGAAAGCAAAAGAGGAGAGAAATCAGCCCCCGCGGCCATTAAATTAATCAACCACTCGACCCGGGAAAACTAGCGACGGGCCCCAAGTCTGAAACTCTTCGTCATCCGCGATCGTTTGTACACCACTGTCGCATTTCCCTTGGTCGCCGTCGCTTCTACTTTCCGAGAACAACGACGATGACGACGGAATAGGGTCACCAGGGCTAAAAAACGAACGATGTATTATAGATCTCGCAATACGACCGAGCGAGAATGCAGAGCCCGCAGAGTGTCGGCTCGCAAGAAACATAACTCGTGCCCGTGTGTGTCCGCCCGCCGCCGACTCCGGTAATGAAACATAATGAATTGTAAAGCAAAAAGGAATTTTCAGTTACCTACCGCTGCAGCTCGCGGGGGTGGCTCGCGGGAACTCGGTTAAATAATGTTTCACTGCAGCCCCAGTTACTCCTGGTTGCAAGAACCATTCTCTCCGGCGAAACTACTTCCAGCTCTGCGTTCCGTCGTCGAGCTCGACTCTCAGAGTGAACTATAATTACAGATTTTTACGCAACGTGTTAGTGACGCGAGCCGCGAATTGAGGACGGTCTCCAGAGAGATGTTTCCCGCATGTTTTCACGTGCAAAAATAATAGAAGAACGACCATAACCAGAGAGCTCCATTTCTGCGCGATGCATTTTAGAGAATAGAATGAAACTAAATAGGCATATTACACTGATTCACAATGATTTTGTTAAATAGATAATGTTGGATAATTTTTATGCATTTTTTATACTAATTATAAAAATGAGATTAACATTTATTCTATGAGTTCTAATTTTTGATAACTAATATTTTTTAACTTATATATTTTGTTATCAATAGCTCGTTACATCTTTTTCCTAATTAAAAATTATTTACTTTTTATTTAGACTTAGAGATTCAGACGTTCAATTTAGATTACATGTGGATAATACACACACACACACACACACACGCGCGCACGCACGCACACACACACACACACACACACACACACACACATTCTCCATAAGAAATTATGATTAATTCAATCTGCGAAGCGTAAAAATCTTGATGAAAATCTGAGGTCAAATTTAAAAAGATATTAAATTGTATAAAATCTGCATTAAAATATTTATCACACTGAAGATGATGTAAAAAGGTCGAAATATGTCTATATGTATATTTCTTTATTGTTATTTTACATATAAATATTGTATAATATTGAGCATGCATTCTTTTTATATATTAATTATTTGAATTTTATTCGTCGGAGCCTAATACATTACATTTATTTATTAAACTTGATTTATTTTTGTTTGAATTCTTCTAAAATGAATAGAAAATTATGTTAAACTCAAGTAGCTACGAATCTTATTTATTTATATCTAATTAAAAAAATTTAAAGAAGGTATGTTATTCAAAACTTTTGCCCTCTTTATAAATTGGCAAATAGATTTGAAATCAATATAAAAGATACTGTAACACTGTTTCATTTAATGTAAAAAAATAAAACGTTCGTTGATCAATATTATTCTTTGCAAGAAACAAAGTAATATCAGAACATTTCGAAAAGTCTACCTATTAAAGAGAAAGTAACGTGATAAGTTTCCTTCCCATGATTTAACAATTTTATTAAATAATTTTATAACAAGTTGAAATTTTAATGAAACTTCTATTAAAACTAAGAAGATTGAATATTTCTTGCAATCAATTCAAAGTTAAACGTTGAGTCCTAGAGAACGTTCTATAAAAAAATTATATGTGTTTTTGCATTCTGTATCAAATACATACAAGAGGTTTCTAATAATAAAAACTATTTATATCACAACAAGACGGCGAATAATACAGAATGCATTGAATTGTGTCTTCCTCGGATCCGATTTCTCACAATTGCGTAGCGCATTGTGATCAATACCGAATTGAAAAGATGTACTAAATAATGATGAACATCGAAAATTCTGTAGTTATTTCGCTGTATCCGACGCGAAGGAAAATGCTCAGCGGTGGATTCGAAGTTCGCGAAGAGTTTCGCGCAAGGATATAAATATTTTCCGTGTGCTTTTCATTAACTGTTTATTTACTTTTTAGCCAGAAAGGCTAGCGGTGAGATACAGAAGGCTCACTTAAAACGTTATATTTACAGAGAGAAGCTTTTCTAAGCGTTACTATAAATAAGTAATATTTTCGAGCAATATTCCTGAGTATAAGATATTCAATATTTATGTCATAAAGATACTTATGTGCCACAGAGATATTATACAAATCTCTCATTTCTCATGAATGATTATTAATAACCATCAATTCAATGCCTTATACGAGTGGCAACCAATATGGAATTTGACCATAAAAATATCTAAAACTAAAATATCTAAAGCTAAAATATCTAAATATTATTACACAATATTTGATATTGCAAAATATTATTGAAAACTACATTGAACTCTCAGATTGTTTGTATTGAGTTATTAAAAGGGGCAATTATACAAAATGCACAATTACATTGAATGTCTAGGAGCCGCTTAAAATATCATTTATTTTAGAATTTTGTCATACAATTTTATTACTTATATGTAGAGCAAAAATAATTACTATTTTATTCTAAAACCTCATATGTTTATTTAGAAAAGAATGCCTGTAATTTTTTAATAATCAAATGATTTGCATATAAATACATATTTCCACATGTAAAGATAACAGAATACTTTTGAAAATATTATATACGAAAATAGTATACATATGATTATAAATTTAAAATAATATATATTTTACAAATTCTATTTGATAAAGAAACTTTATAAAATATTGAATAGCATAATAGTTCGTCAATTCACATTGGAACGGTTTTACGATGCGACGAAATTTTTCTTAAAGTCGAGTGGTCAGCTAAAAAAATCTAAATCCGGGAACGTCGCCACCGGTTCGAAATCTCGACGGCTTGCGATCTGAGTACTGTCGGCCGAGCAAAAACGATTCGAATACGATTTGAATTTCGAACGCGCGCAGATCTGCATACGTAAACATGCGAGGAGCACACTTGCTCGCTCGCGGGATATGATCGCGTAACCTATGCAATTTCGCATAATCATCTGGGAAGAAGAACAACCTGATTCCCGATCTTCAATCAGTAGATTACGTATTACGTAGATTACGGAGTTTTAAAGCGAGATTTATGCGAGGGAGGAGCATACGTATGCGAGAGCAGGCGATAGTGGCGGTTTTTACGGCGAACATTTTTCCTGATCGTTTCCAAGGATAAGATGATAATTGAAAAACGTTCGACCTCTCTCTTTTTATCATCAAGGTTATAATGGATTCATTTAGGAAAGAAATCGGCATGTGCTCTTATACGATGGATGAAGGAACGTAACGGCGCGGGTTCACCGAGTGTCATTTTTATCCGCCTGCGCGATAATACTGCGTTATCCTTTTGATTGCATCCGTGTAAAAGAACCCTGGAATTAACCTCTCCCGCCTCCGCGCGTACCGAGCTCTTGGCGCCATCTGAATTATTCAGCAGTTACGCGAGGAAACGCGCGGCGCGTCTTCTCTCTTTCGTCGACATGCCTGCGGATCAATTTTGTTTACCGCGCCGAAACCGGGTTACTACTGTGGAGCTGCTTAACAATACAAGGCAGTGCACATCCATTTCCGTAGGCACTGTTATTCTGAATTATCATATGTGCCTCCATATATGTCCATATATGTCCTCCCGGACATGCATTCGTTATCATACTCGAGATTGATTTTCAGGAGCATTTGATTCTAATGACGAATCTTTCGATAAAATTAGAATCAATCTTTTCCTGAAAATTTCATGAAAACAGTAAAATATTAAATTAAAAGCTTAATTCATAATAATCCAATTTTTTGTCGAAAAATTAAAAAAATATTTATAAGTGAAGATAAGTGAAGTCTTATACGTGTATTTTACTTTTATTCTTCGCTGTTTATTCAAATCTCGCGATAACGCGTGATTATGCAAGACGCATGTAATGGCTAGGCGCCTGTCCTGTCGTTAATAAAACGAGGCAACATCAACGGAAATATCAGATAATTGCGCGGCCCCAGGACATGATGAATTGTTACCCTACTTTATTCTATTTCAGTCCATTCCCCGATAAGAGATAAGCTTTATATTTTCTCCGGATGGTATATCGTGTAGTAGTAATGGTAGGAATTACTACTCGGAGTAGTTGCACTTGTAGGTCGTTCTGCAACTTTATCTTTTCTTGACGTTTCCTTGTGCGGAGCACTTTAGAAAAGTTTCACGTTTCTTTTAATATTTTGTTGGAAACACGCTCGAAAAACTATCGAGAATAACGTTCCTGGCGCACATTCGCACTTCGAATTCCTCATCGTACGCAGTTTCAAAGCGTTCCAAGAATGCAACGTACACGCGGAAACGTTCACGTATGATGGTAGCAACCAAGTTGATAGACGTTTGACGACGATCTTTTTTATCCTCTTTTTTTTTCTCTTTTCCCGCAGATGTCCCGTGGCACGTGGCACCGGTGGTCGGTGCTCTTGCTGCTTCTGCTCGCCACGAGATTCCTCTCCGTGCACAGCCAATGCGGCTCGTACGCCCAGGACCGGCAAGAGAAGCAGGACAAGCAGGACAAGTTGGCGCTCTACAAGGTCATGCTGAGGACCTACTGGTCGAGAGCGCGATTCCCACGACATTATCCAGAGTGGAAGCCTCCAGCGCAGTTCGGCAAGCTGATCGGTAAGTTATAGTTTGTGTGCAGCGTCAATTAGTGTCAATTGCGAAAGAAATATCCGACAACTGTGACTCAGGAACGCCATAGAGCACAGTGTCCGGGACAATTTTCGTAATTTTTACACATGTTCCGCTTGATATTTTTAAGCAGATTATACATATTTTGTATAAGACCGAGAAATACGTTTTATTTTTCGCCTTCCAAAACTTGTATAGTAATGATGATTAAAACATTGAAGAATTTATGATTAAAATAGAATAGGTTGTATTCTCTTCAGCATTTACATAAAGTTAAGAGAAGGGGACTTGTATTATTGACTTATATTATTCCTATTTCATTTATCCACCTATACCTTTCTTATATGATATTCTGCTTCAATTGCTTATTTTCCTATTCCTATTTTTCCTTTTATCCTTATTATTACTTTTTTATCTTATCCGTCTTAAATATATTATCACAGTTGATACACGTTTCTTATGTTATCATAACCATAATATCTAATACTCACAAGAATTTACAGTTATTATTCTAGGATTAATGTTGCAGTCTCGGCTGCAGTAGTGAATAAAAGCCTTAAGTGGTGAATAAAAGCCTAAGTAATTCGTATGGAAAATTCGCAGAAAATCGAGCAATTCCACGTGCCAAGAGCTGTTTTTCTAGAACAGTTATCATCCAATTTAAAAGCTGATGTCTCATTTGCGACGCATTTGAATCCGGCTCGCATTTCGAGTGAAAATTGAAATGTAAAACGGCACGTCGAAAATACTTTGCCTCTTTACATACGTATCAAATGCAGTTTTAATTGAACGCGGCGTCATGAAAATTAGATTAAATTGTTCTCGGTGCGATTCGAATCCCGTCGATAAAAGAACGAGATTTTTCTGATTATTTCGAACGATTCTCGCGATTCGCGAGTAACGCGATCATTTGCTGCGTAGTCGAGCAATGTCACCTTAATAAGATCTCTCGATCTTTCTCTCGAGCTTTCTCTCTTCTTCCTGCTGAGGAGCTGCTATTCGCGTTTCATCGATTCCCCCAGTGAACGACAGTCTTTCGTGCGTCACTGCCGAAACTTTAATTCGATCAAATCCCTCTAGGTCTTGCACGATTCCGATCATGGCGAATACTTATTTCTCCCGACGCGACGGTTTGCGGGCCGGTCGCGCGGTTCGGGCTACGTCAGCCTGAATCTTATTTCCCAGGTTTATTCTCTTTCGACCTCCTTTCTCCGGTGGCGCGAAGACGACGGGGGGGGGGGAGGGGGGATGAAATGATAATTGGAGAAGTTGGGAATTATCGCATGACGCCGCTGGCGTTTGCAGTCGTCTGTGATGTCGCGCCTGACGCGAATTTGAAATGTCGTCGCTTGTGCATGGATGCCCGCGAAATGGCTGCAGAGGATGCCATGTATATACACGAGGTGTCCCGAGAGCTACCGCGACTTTTATTTCAATAATTCCTTCGACTAATTCAAAATATCCGTTATCTGAGACTTCACATTAAATCTATAACATAATCGAGTATTAAACGATAGGTTTTGTTCACTGTTATGTCAATTGCAAACCAATCTAATCTTGATCGCTTTTAGTTGGACGTCACCCTGTAGATATACGAACAGGTGTCGTAAGTCTTCGTTGGTCCATAAATCCCTCGCATCCCCTCTCACTACCAGTTAGTCTCTATAGTTTCGCGCTTTCGGTTGGTGTCTGTGGTCGCGACCCTCTCTTCGTTCTCGCCTCGCCTCGCCTCGTATCCGACCCACTTCCCACCTCGGCTGGCACCAACCATTCCTTTCTTCCGTCGTGAAGTCGAATAAATCCCGCCGTTAGACCTGATCCGGCCGTTTCGTCGAATGTACGAGCGTTCCGCGAGAAACCTCAAATTCGAATTAGAAAGCCGCGCGCGCGCCACCGAAATTCAATTTCCAAGCTCCAGCGGAGTCGAGAAACCGCGTTCGGCGGGCACGATATGAGGAGAATCCGAAGAGCTGCGGTTCCCTACCTTGGCCACGTTTTGTTCTTCTATTGTACCAAATCGTTTTCGTACGCTGACAATAATGTTCTGCGACTCCAAATTACTTTCTGAAATATCTTGTTCGAACATACAAAGTTAATAATTGTACTTTTTATATGAGCGAATTAAATAAAAAAAAAGACTCCCTAATAAAACTTTTAGAATGAATCTCATTCTGGAAAGTGAAATCTTACTCTTAAAGATTGAAAATTGAGCCACTCCTCAAGACTGGCTCAATTTTCACTCCAGAATGAGATTTCACTCCAAAGAGTTTTTATTACAAAGGAAACATTTCATCGAATAACAATTAATCACAATTATATTTTTATAATTAATTCTCTTGTATAATCGAATAGATTACTCTTTTTTCGAAAACTTTTCTTCGAAGTTTTATATATCTGATCGCCTGATTCTTTGTTTACTAAATAACGAATATATCTAAAGGTATTTATATTTATCTATTTTAATTGCGACTGCGAAATCAATATTTACTTGGCGATAAGTTTAATAATTATACATTGCGACTTAATCCGAAATTAATTTCACAAGAATATAAATTTGCAAATAAGAAGGGCGCGACACGAAAAATAAAAAATATATATATATTTATTTAACCGACATTCAATCCTCTTTCCCGGGGTCAACTTATATATATATATATAAGTTGACCCCGGGAAAGAGGATTGAATGTCGGTTAAATAAGGAATCGGAGAAGGGACACGAGGACTTTTTTTTACGTGATACGAAAGAGCCACGTCAAGTGGGCTCGAAACAGAACAGAGCGGAACAAAAGCGGCGACAAAACGTAATCGAAAATCCTTTACGCCGTTTCAGGGAGAAATCGCGGGTAGGGGAAAAACGAGGCCCGAGGGGTAGTTCGGGTCAGAGGGAACAGAGGATGGTAGCAGGTTTCTCTCTACATTCCGCAGGACCTCCACGAAAGAACTCTCCGTGGATATATCCTGCGTGCACACGGACGAGTGAACACGTTCGATCGTTAACGGCCGACTAATGGAATGGAATTCGCATCGCTTCGTCCTCTTGCCGTATATACACCCCCGTCGTTTCTGCCATTCCTTCAGTCGCGCGCCTGAATCGTAAAACTGTTGCCGCACACCGTCCGTTGCTTTTTCCTTCATGGCTCCGGTCGATTTAATTCGATTTTTTTCCTCTCTTTCCGTCGCTACTCTTCTTCTCAACCTCGGTATTTTCCTTCCACCTTTTTCCCCTTTTTATCTCTAGTTCCTGAACTCCGGATTTAAGTGGAGGCGCACGCAACCACGCGCGATCATGTTTTTTTAAAGCGTTATCGACTCTAGGTACACGATATGCCGTATATTTTTTTTATATCCCTTACACTCTTTACAGCGCGTAAGTATAAAGATAAATCTTGCTTACACAGAAATAGACAGATTCCTCAGATGATATTATACTTATGAATTTTTATTGTTTATTGAATTTCATAAGACAAAAATAAAATAATGGCATTTAATTCATATTGAGCATTAAGTCGAAGTGAATAAAAGGATTTTAATAAAAGGATAGTGTTTCAATTTGCATGTATTTGCGATAAAAAAAATGATACGTTCCACAAAGTCGCACACATCGGAGAAATCGAATATAAACTCATAGTTATAAGTAAACCGGGAATAAATACGCATTTTGCTCTGCAGTTACGAGTTCGCAACTTGTCTGTGCAACATATTCGCCAGGAACAAAGAGACGCGCTGTTACCGCGCGCGTATCTGCAAGGCAAACACGATAATAATAGCGTCGCTAATGCACGGCAGACGCTACGCTAATGGCGAGCAAATATCTTTTTTCAGTCGTAAAGCAAATTACATCAGTTAACAAGGAAAATCTTATAAATGTCTGTGTCGTTTGCGGAAACGCGAAATATTTTCTGAATAATATATCACAATAACATAAAACAATTTCGCGACACTTTTCGATTATTTCGATTATATAACGGATTTATTTTCAAGTTTAAAAATATATTTCAACAATGTCAAAATTATGTCCACTTTGCTAAAATATTAAAAAAAAAAAAAATCAGCGAAATTATATTTGACATAGATGTATCATTTAATTATCTGTAATAACGCGCGTAGATAACAGTAGCTCTTTCATTATAATAGTACGCAAAGTGTCGCATTGACACTATGTATACTGACGCAATATTTCCGTGATGATGAATTATTCTCCCGTCAAAAAGAGCCTCAATCGATATTCAGATTTTTATTTCATACGAACGGTGGGATTATTACGGCCATATGTTTTCCATAATATGTTTCCTCACATCGTCGCTTTTATTCGGCGACGATGATACACGTCGAAAGTTCAGGTTATTCGTGAGAGAGGAATTGTCTCGAAGCCATCAGCAAGCCAAAAGCCACTTTGGGGTATGCGAAAGTTTGCCTATTTCCCGTATGCTAATAGACTTCATAACAGCGACAGGAAAGAATGATATTCCTCGTCACCAACAGTTCATATGACCGATAACGGAGCCGTGGGATAAACGTATCGTTTAAGATACTTTGTGTACTATTTCGTGGATGAGCTTTGAGGGGTATTCATGCGATACTCCATCCATCTTTAAATCCCCCGACAGAATTTCTTTGGACGTTTCAGCGTCTTCTCTCCCGTAGCGTGAATCATCCAACGCACATAGGGCGACCCAAAAATATCTTCGGTGAGCGCCAGCTTGCGATGTAAGTGTATCTGAATACGCTAGGATAGATCCACTAACGACCACTTCGATAAATAATCACTATACAAGCATCCAAAAATCAGATATACTTTACGTCTTGATCTTTGAGAAGAAGCGACAACATATTAATGATACGTTGTCATCATAAAATTGTATAAGGTCTAAAAAAATATAAACTTCTCTCTCTTATTAAATATAATTCTTAAATCTTCATTTATAGAAAGTTCCTTCGATTTAAAGAAATGTTTCTTTGCTATACAGTTAAAGAAAACATGTATTTGA